TCATCATTTCTGTCGTTAAGTTTTACCTTGCAAGTAAATAAAACCGAGTAATTATCATTCTGTGTTTTCTTTTTCAACTTATCACAGCAATAGTAACAACAATTAGGTAATCATTGGCTGTTGTGGGCCAGATTGATGACAGTAAATCATTGGCTGTCGCGGACCGGATTGATGACACTGGCGGGCCGGATTTGGCCCGCAGGCCGTAGTTTGGAGACCCCTGCCCTAGAGTATCGTAATTTATCTTCTACTACTTTGAAGAAAAATCTCAAAGAGATTGTCTTGAATGGGCAGCTGATTTCAGTAAATTTTAGCAAATTTTTTATTCCTTCAGTTTGTTTGTATCATATGTTTTTCCTGTTTTTTTTGGGCTCGCTTGATATCATTTCAGTTGCACTTGGCCTTTTTGTGTGTATTTTGTGTGTATTTTATGACAAAATAAATACTTATCATTATTAAATGTCTCCGTTCATTCATTAATGAACATATTGAACTGTAGGGGTTCTAGATTTGATCCTTGTGGTAAACCAGATGTAGCTATATATTCGATAGACTTGAGGCCATTGAGTTGGACGTACTGCTTACGTTTGTAAAAATACGATTTAAAGAGGGTTATTAATTCATTTGATAACCCAAAAGTCGAAAACTTGTTGAGCAGGATACTGTGGTCGAGTCTGTCGAATGCTTTAGAAAAATCAGTGTAGATGACATCAGTCTGAGACTGACAATCGATACCCTCTGCAATACATTGAGTGATTGTTACAAGATCGGTGGTGGTTGAACGTCCTTTCATGAAACTGTGTTGATTGAGGCTAATAATGTTGCTGACATGACAATAGATTGTCTTTTCCAGAAGCATCTCAAATTCTTTACGAAAGTTGCATATGATAGAGATTGGTCTGTAATTTTTTATCTCACTTTTATCTACTTTTTTTAAAATTGGGCAGACTTTCGACATTTTCTATATTGATAGTATGGATATGTAGGAATAATATCGAAAGATCCAACCGACAACATCTTATTATCGACGGTAATATTTGCGGGTACTTTTGAAACCATCATTTTCGAAATTTATATCATAAAAACATAAACTTGATTTGATTTTTCGATTCAAATTGACTTGTATGTTTTTCAGAGATTCAATTCCACCACCTAAGCCGCCATTGCCAGAAAATCTGCGTCGATCAAACCCAGACACATGCATCACACCACCCCCTTTACCGCCCAAGAAAAAACATTTCCGAATGAAACAGTTGATTGATGACTGTCATTTTGTGGATCAGTCCCCTTCATCGAACAGTTTTGGAAGGTAAGAAAACCCCATACATACGGGGGTCGTTTCAAAAGTAAAGACAATAACTCTGTACGGAAAAAGCTTTTCTTTACTTCCAGAGCAACTTTTATCACACCAAGTTATTTTACAGTAGCTAGAAAATATTTTGTTTTTCACCGTATACCTGAAGAATTTAGTTATGATGTTGAATATGCGATGCACTGGATTTCTTTTTTTTTTTGTACTCATGACCAATGTTTTCTTTTCTGAGAAACTCAAGAATTTCATTTCTCAAATCCTCAACTCAACGAATGCAATTCATAGTTCAATAAAACGAGGTATATAGGACTCCAAATGAAGATGACGTTGTTACATCATATTTTTTCCATGAGTCACCATCTCCAAAAGCAGTGTTAGATTATTGAACACACTACTTTTGGTGCTTCCCTGGTATTTTTCATATGTTGATTCATGCAAGATTATATAAACTCCAGACTTGATATTACATTACATTTTGTGGTTTCCTGTTATGTTCAAAGAAAAAGACGTTTTTTGATACTTGGACTGAAATAGTACCTTCTCATCTACATTCAGCACACCATTTCTTCATTTACACTGTTTAAATACTATGAAATTGTATAAACTCAAGCATGCCATTGACAAAAGTCAGAGTGTGGCATAATGTTGGTAGTTATGGTATATGAACTACCATCCTTCACAACAGGTTTTTCCCAGGGTCTCTATCACCGTTACTTTTTGAACACCCCTCGTATGATGATATCACCCTACAATATTTGATGGTTTCAATACAAATTTTCAGAATTTTGTACAGATCCAAATCGCCAGAAGGTTCAGCATCATCGATGAGTGCAGATAGCGTCGACTCCATGATGAATCATTCTTCTCGGGATGAAGATGAATTGAGAGATTTAACAGACGAACTCTCCTTTGAAAATCTCACATCTGACTTGGGTAATTATAACGAATCAAAGTATTGTCCTGTTTAAATCTCTGTTTTCTTAGCTGCTAACAGTTCGAATTCGTTTGAAGAAACTTCTTTGAGTTCGAATTTATCAAACCACAACAGCGACTACTTCACTTCTGTCAACGATTACCATCGACTGTCGAACACTGATTCTGGAATTGTGTCCATGCGTTCGTCCAGCTACTCGAGAAGTTCGCAGATGAGCACCACGAGCTCCCAGGTCACGCAGCAATTTTCGAAGCAGTCGAACTCTCAAAAATCTTTTCAAAATTTCAACAAAAGTTTCGACAATCAGACGGTTGTTAAGAACTTCAGCCAATCGAACTTCAGTCAATCATCCAGTAGCAGCAGCAGTTCTGTCGTCATGGTTGCCAACAGCAGCTCATGTAGAGATGTGGTAGATTTCGCGTGTGAGGAGGTTCCGCCTGCCATACCCCAAAAGACTAAGAAGAAGACTGAGAGGAATCCGTCACCTTATGATAATGTTCCTGACGAGAAAATGGGTAAGATGATTTGTTTCATGTTCTTGTAGGCAGAACTGGACCCTCTGGAGTAGAATAAATTCAAAACAAGTACTTCCCAAATACTAAAACTGCAACACTCTTCTTGACGCGCATTTCAGTAACCACGTTGGAGTCTTCAGGAGAAAAAGTTGTCTGATTTAGTCTTCTGAAGAAGCCAATTTAGTTGGTGGATCACGCATTGAGAAGAATGTTCTGCTGTTTGGGAACGGTGATCGTTTGGGACCAAAAGCTATGCATCACATCGAATAAAAAAACTCACATCAGTTTTCTGTGCATCAAAAAGACTAATGAGTTTTTGTTCAGTATCAGAAAAAGTGCCCAAAATATGCCATCACAAGGAATAGAAATGTTTAATGGCTGAGAATACAATTTTTATAGAAAAAAATTAAAATTTGCATGAAATGTTTCTTATCAAAGATCAAAATATTGGACATCACCTATAGTTATTGAAATGATTCAAACATAGGTAGTTGAAACATACAAAATGAAGGAGTATTAATCATCAGTTATTAAAATCATTCCCACACATTAGAAACATTCAAAAAGTAAAATTGTTTACAAAATAGGAGCATCAACAGTTTTGCATACTCTCAAACGAGATAGTCTTATTAACACAATCGTCAGTTCAAAAGTGTGCTTTGTCTTTTTCGGTATCGTTTAGAGTTTTTGCTGGATGATAGACTAAAGGCCCCATAGTGGGTCCCTGTGGCGTCCATCTAAGATTTGTTTGTTCAAAAGATCCCACATGCTGTTTTCTGTTGCATAATGTTCCTCAATTTGGGTTATTACAGAAAATGCAAGTTTGATCAAAATAAAGTTGAGTTTAATTCATGAGTTTTTCAAATTCACTTCGAAAAGTATTCAAATTGATGTTTCAGATGTTGGGTTTTAATTTTTGAAAGGGATTTGTTTCTAATTCACATATTGGCAACAGCGCCTATAGGCGCTGAAGTTGAAATAATTTATACGTACCTAGATATTCTACTTAAAAAAGGAAAATTATCTTTATAAATCAACAATTGAGGCAAATTATAAATTATAGTTCAATACCACCTCCACAAGCCACATAAACAACAGTTGTTTTGTTATTTATTTATATAGAGGAAGATAGGTTAGGTGCACAAAATGTCATTTGTCACAGAATGTCTCGGAACTCGGAACATATGTAAACAGAACAGCACGCCTCTGAAATATGTCATCTTTGTTTTTCTCATACAGATTCATTGTCCTTTATTAGCTATAACCGATATTGCCAAATGGTGAAATAGAAATGAATCCCTTTAAATGTTGAATGCATTATTTCATTCCTCTTTTTTAATTTAAATAACTTTTTAAGGAAAAAAATTGAAATGATAAGTTCAAAATGCGTTGTTTTAGAGCTCTTTTATGAAAACTACTTGATTTTCGTCAGGAGGAACATTCCCCATTGGTATGTTTTTTGTTAAGGTTTCTGCTATAGAGCAATAGTTATTGTTCAGTTTATCTGTGTTTATTGGTATATCAAATTGTTCTTTTTTTGGTTTTCCCCTAAAACCAATAATCATAAACATCTCTTTTGATTCAATTAGTAATTCTGAATTGAAAAAATTTAAATATTGCATCTTGTTAGTTCTCGCAAGATTCATTGTGTTTTCATGCAAATTTCAGTATGAATGAATCTGAATAGTGTGGTAACAGAAAAAGTTGTTATTCTCTTCAGTCCATGATATTAAATCTGTAAAAAATTATTTGGGGATATGGAAAAACTTGTCTGGTAGGCCACTGAACTTTATTGTATTGTTTGCAGCTGAGGTTGTAGTGACATGTGAAAGACATCAATCGCATCAGAGTTTATCGAGTAGTACAAGCATCACTAGTTCAAGTAATTGGGAACAAGACAATAAGCCGCCACCTCTACCGCCAAAAAAGAAACACAGTAAGTTATTTTTCAGTTTTTATGTATCAAATCTTCCAGCACGTCATTCACTTCTTGAAAATATTTTATCTGTTGTATTGTTGGCATAAATGTTTTTAAAGTAAACCTTGTCAGTAAATGTAAGGTGAAATTAGTGCCCCGCGTTGGGCGCCGGTTCAACACCATACTCAATTAGGAGTCAAAATATTATCACACATATATCATTGTAATTATTGCTCGATATTCAGTAGCTGGTTAGGCGTTGTATGTTTTTTATTTACAATATAAAAGGATTCTGTTGATGCAACTCTTTTTTTTATCGAATGGTAGAGGTTCACTCTCCTACTGCCTAATATTGAAGTAATTTATATTTCATATCAACTTTTTTAAGCAATTACTGTTCGAATCTGAAGCAAAGTCAACCCATTTATTATTGGATTTTAATTTTTTTCGTAATTACTTTTCTTGCAATCAAACATTTCATTAGAGAATAGGATTGAAATATTGTTAAACGTGTTATAATTCATCAACGTGTTATAATTCATCAACGATACCTACCAAAAGGGATTGTTTAATCCAAAACACCAGTATATTATAAATTTTCCTTCGCCTCTTGACATAAGCAAATATTCAAATTGTATTTCACTCCCTTTTGCTTTATATAAATGAAAACTTTTGTTTTCAATTCGTTATTTACAAAATGTAGTACTTTAAGAGCATTATTGTATATTGAAACGTTGTTTAACAAACTACCTTTGTTCCTAGTGTTCCAATCTGTGGCTTACTCGGGTAAGTAAGCCGCCAGCAGCAAACATAATATTTTTTTGCCATCTAACATCCTTATTTTTGGAGCTTTGTTTGCTGTTCCTGAAGTTTTTCTTCGCACTTGCGACTTGAGAAATGTATTCACCAATAATATGATTGATGCAATTAAATGATGTATAAGACAAAATCTGACTGACAGAAATACGTTTCTTGAGTCCAAAATATTTCATTCTTTTCTTTCCAGTGGAGTTTCGTATTTTCATTAACTTTTTTACAGAGATCTTAAGCACCTCAGTTTGTGTTGAGTTTAAATAATATATTGAAATGTGTAATATGAGAACTGAAATGTTTTGATATTTTTATAAGCCTAAAATATTTTTTCATGTGAATTTGTTGATATTTTGGCAACTGTTCAGATATTTTTACAAAATTTTCGAATCTCAAATTCCATGAATTATTTCAAGAATTTTTTAATATAGCTATTAGATTTTTTCAAAAGTTCTTAATGCTTTTCACAATCAAATAAAAATATATAACTTCAATGTCAAAATGTCGTTAACTTCAATGTCAAAATATCGATACTGTATGTTTTTAAACTGTCTTGAAGCTACGAACAGAAATAACCGATTTTTTTTTATTGTGGTTCTTTAAAAAAGTGTCAAATTAGTCTAATATGATTTGTCGAAGATTAGTTGAACCCAATCCTATAAAGGATTGCCTTGAATAATTGAATCCACTCTAGTAACTACTGTATGTGAATCAAAATTCGCCTGCGCTAATTTTTTTTTGCTAATCACTGATTTTCTTTTGAAGATTTTTTCACTCTCGTTGAACACTGTTGCTTCTCAACTTTCATAAGAAAATCGTCCTCAGTATTCGTTTATATTTTTTTTAGTCATGGCGTACATGGAGATGTTCGGCAACTGCTCTCACACAAACGACCAGGAATTCATGAGGCACTCGGTGCACATGGTTCAGTCTCAGTACGTACAACCCTTCGATTCAGGATTGCCAACCACGCAGTCTTGTTCCTTCAGCCATTCATCACATAGTTCCAGTCGAACATCACACACTCACGTACAAACTCTTTCGGTACCATCCAGATCTGAGGGAAGGTAAGATAAGATAATATAAGGTGACTAACAATGAGTGTGACATTTAGTTTGTGGATTCTTTGTGGTACTGAAAAGAAGCTTTCATCTTATTTTTTGAACAGTCCTTGTAGTTTAAGAGCACCAATAAAGGATTCTTTCATAGTATTTGCACTTTTAAGTCCTTAGCTAACAAACAACATTTAACAAGGTCCCAGTCTCATTCTCCAACAGAAATGCAATCAATGTACCATTTCAATATTTAAAGGCAAATAGATTATGCATTCTTAATCTTATCTAACCAACTATGTTATCTCTGTAAATTTCCTGGAGCAGGAATGATTGCCAAATTGCATGCATCAATGTTTACGACTAGAAAATGTGTACCCCGAACTACCAGATTTTTTCTCCGTAAATAGAGCATTCGAAAGGAATAAGTGAATGTTTTGTGGCTGTATGGGTAAACTGACCATTTTTTTTTCAACTCAAAACGGGACGTCCATATATAACATACAATAGATCATCCGTACGCACGGTTTCTGGAATTGAATCGAATACTTTTTTCTTTATGCTTCACTTTATGTATGGGTCCTAGTTTATTCAATTTTACTAACCAACGTATATTTCCAGATCTCCGTCGCCCATTCACATTCCAAATTCTACAATATCCTCCTCACCCAACACATCCAGCCTGCCACCAGCTCTACCCCCCAAACAGCGTTCACGCAAATCTTCCGTGAAAACCCCGCCTCCCACACCTCCCGGAACAGTTATATCCGAACCTAAGTCTCCTCTACCCTCCATAAAAGCCTTGCCCGATCTCTTAGAGCACACCACCAAAACCGAAGAGAAATCCGAAGGTAGCACGCCGTCTTGTGAGGAAGATTTGATGGAGTTGTTGAACGTCGATCAGTACTTGCTGTGGAAGAAGCCTGAAGAAGAGGGTCCGGATATTCGGGGAGGGCCTATCGACGCGCTCATCATTCAAGCGACAAAGGCTACTAAAAATGGAGGTGAGTAATGAATTTTTTCTTTCATTTCCAGTCACAATGATAGTAGTTTACGGTTCTCTTAAGTTGAAAATGAAATCATCTGAAGATTACTGATAAGAACGGAAAACTTTGTTTTCATGCATTTTGTTTTAATCTTAATATGCCATAGTTTGAAACCACTTCTGTAAATCGATTGTTTTTAATGATTAATTTAATATTAATACGACCATCAGATAGTTTGGATGTATTAATTTTGAAAATTAAATTTGCGGGATTCAGTTTTTGTTTCAAGATATACAGGGTGTAACTAAATAAGTGTAACACATTTAAGGAGGTGATTCCTCATCGAAAAAAACATAGGATCTTTCATACAAAGAAATTTCATTGAAGCATCCCTTGTTAAGATACAGCCCCTTAAAGAGGGTACATAAAATTTGTATAACAATTTTTTTCACAAGCACTGAGAAAGTTGCAATATTGAAATTAACCTGACGTTTTGTACTACCAAAAAGACACTTAGCCAGTAATTTATTTGGTTTACCCCATGGTTGTAAGGGGTGGAAAACGCAACCCCTAAAATTTATTTCCAATGTAACTTTTTGTCTTATTATTTGTTTACCATTT